TCGTAGAATGCCAAAATCAAAGGAAAAAAGACAAAAATGTAAAGAAATGAATTCGAAGAGTAGATTATTCGCCATAACATATCCTGTGCCATTTGTTCAACCTTCATGACCAGGTAGATTTCATAGTGAAAGCAACTTTTTTTTTTGCAAAACTTTTTTTTTTATTTGCACGCGCGCATCAGTTTTGGGGTTCCCAGAGGATGTCATCCATATAATCAAATCAACATGGCGTCAATACCAATTGTTTGCTGGGTCCCAGCTAACATGCAGCTTCTGAGACCTAAGTTCCTGTGTCTGACCTTTTGGGTCTGTGGTTATGTAATTCCCCCAAACATGTGTTGGCACTTGACTGTACGAACACACAAGCACATACGCGTAGAAAAAAGACAGTTGAACAATGGATAGGCGTATTTGCAGTGTGAAAAGCGTGAAAATAAACACCGCAAACATTTCAAGATATACAGTTGGTACAGAATGTAAGTCACACTTACATGGGTGGTTCTTCCACACGCTATCATATCCTGGTGATCACAAGGGTTAGGAATACTGAGATGATGTCCGGCCATGGCAGACAGACTTGACCCTGACTTGTCCTCCAGGACGGCAAACTCGTATTTCCGGTGACGTAACGTCGGCCAGACGGCAGACAGCATCGTTGTCTCACTGGTGTAGTCAATGTCATACTCTGTCCAGTCTCCGTTCAGCTCAAGTGTGATGTTAGCTGTTGGATGAAATGAGTCTCGTCAAAAACGTTCACTGAATTATTTTGTTGCGAGCATTTCAAGTGCAATCTTATTTTAAGCTGCTAGATGGCAGATCAGCACCCTGGAAAGCACCTTCTACTTCTGAAAATCATTTATGCTGGAGATGTTCATTTTAATCTTTAGCACACTGTCAGAGAATTCTCTACAATTCGTTCACAGGAATATAGTAGTAAATGAAATTTTAAGGAATTATGAGAATGCACAAGAAAACAGTTACTCAAGCAATTTGATAGATTTTGGTCATGAAAACTCTATCAAGTTGCATATTAAATAATTTCTTGCATATTTAAATACATAAATGTCTAACCTTCATTAATGAATTTTGAGAATATTTTCCCATACCCTATCCAATACCCTACACTACTGGCTTCGCCCCTAAGGCGTTGCCAAAAACTTAACATATACTTACGGCGAGTGTCTATGACTGTTGAGTAGTTAAGCCCTCTGTTTGTGTCGGTTTGTTCACATTGGACGATCTCCGCGGAGACGGACGCTGACAGCCCGGTGTGGGCGTGGCCTCTCACCACCAGACTAAGACACTTTGTCAAATCTTTAGGCAGCCCGGTCACAGAGAAGAAGATCTGAAGAGGAAATTACATTCAAAGAGGTCAGAGATAGCAGACGTCACACCCTTACCCAAACTAGTTTGTGACATATATAATCCAGTCATACAGGCAACTAGAGTTCCACGATCTCATACCTTCGCCAAATGATGTTAGCTTTTATGATTAAGAAATTATATATTAGTCCCCCTAATTATGCAAATAGGATCCTCAATTGCATGAATTATATCTGTTGATCATATTCTCCACCAAAAGACAGTCTTATCTTAACAAAGAATGCCATTATGACATTTTCTCATAAATTATGCAAATGAGGTCCTTATTTGAATAAGTTATGTTTAATTATGTTCACCTTAACTTAACTTTCAAACACCCCAAGTATAAAATTCCAGGCAGTTACCACTATGCAATTATAATATTTTCTCATTAATTATGCAAATTAAGTCTTCATTTGCATAATCGATATCTGCCTGTGTTTCTTTCATTCTTAATAACATATGTCACAAGCTTGAACTTCCTATTATGGAATACAGCTGATAAATAGAATTTCCTCATTAAATATGCAAATTACATCCATATTTGCATAATTGTAATATCATTATGTCAAGCATCACTCAAGCTACATACATACCAAAAATCACGATGATCCATCAATCGGTTCTTGAGTTATCCCCCTTTAAACATTTGTCCATTAAACCCCCCTGCAGTTCTAGAGAAAGCAACTAGGGGTCTCAAACTCATGTCACTTTATCCCCAGCACAAGAGCTATCTACCATCTAAATTTCGTCACCCTAGCATGTCTGGATCATGAGATATCAAAACCGGAAGTTCTGCTGCAGTACCATGACAAGCCGCCAGGTGGCCCAAAATCTAATCATTTTGAGGTCTCATCAAGACCTACCCACCTACCAAGTATCAAGACAATCCATCAAGACCTTCTCAAGTTATCGTGTTGACAGACACACACACACACACACACACACACACACACACACACACACACATACACGAACGCCCCTGAAAACATAACCTTCTTGGCGAAGGTAAAAATAGGGCTAGCATAGGATATAGTTCTTGTGAGATTGTAAGACCATGGAGGAGATCTGGGGAGTTTTAGATGCGAAGAACATTTTTAGAGACCTCACCTCCTTACCCATACTACTTTGTGTGAAGAAAACTACACTAGGAATTACAATTTACTAGTGAATTTCTTGGTTCTTCAAAACTTTTAGCAAAATTTCCTTAAGCAGTCAAGATGAAAAAGGGCATGGAGAAAAAAAAAGGGTATTTGAATTATTGTAAAGTACGAAATTATTCTTATCAAATGGAATTTCTCTGGAAGAGTTCAAGGACCCTTTTAGACCCCCCCCCCAATGCAAGTCATGTTAAACTTTCCTTTACTGTTGGTAACTTATTGCTTCTGTGCTAAGTCGGAAGCTCAAAAACTGGTCAAAATCCTCTCTTGCAACTGTACTCACTGCTGTTTCATTGGTAGAAGTTGGAGTGACTGTTGCCCAGTCAGTCAGTAATTTTCCATCCTCTGAGTCATCAGTAACGGCCCAGTCATAGAAGTTCATGACGTCATCAGTAGGGTAGTACAGGTCACCGAACTTGTCAAAGATGACGTCAGCACTCCTGGTGCCTGAATCTGGGTACGGACTGGTGACGTGAAGAGACCCGGGAAAGGGTGGATCTGGAGCCACCAGGAAGCCGGAACTGTAGACTGAAAAAGGAGACATATGACTTGTTGTTAATGGGGAGCTGTTTGTTTTCGATGTGTTTGTCTATATGTTGGTTTGTGTTTCAGCAGTTACTTCCACATGGTAGGCACTTTGGGGATACTGACTGGACAGTACCTTCTACTTTAATTTGCATTTAATTTAGCTCAATACTAGAAACACCTTTATTAAACTGGGACAGGGGCTGCTACAGACTACCATTTGAAAATACTTATTTTTTCCATAACAATACGCTAAAAAAACACTGTAATACCTGGAGCAAAACAGCCAGCCTGGTGACAGAACAACACTTTGGACTTGTAGGTGATATTTGGTTGGAGGTACAGATCTACAGCCAACCCGTGAACTGCCATGCCCAGGTTCACGTAGTCCTGCACCACAGTCTCCTCCCCCTCTACTTCCTGTATGATCGCCCATTGGACGTTGGTCACGTGGGCAAGATTGGCAGGTGGGATGGACCAATGAGCAGCCGCGGCTGCCTTTGACGTCTGGTAGATTGACGGTGACGAGTCGTAGCATGCTGAGCGGATGGTCTGCATTGAAATAAATTGATATAAAAGAAGGTATGTTAATTTCTTCAGAATGAATTGGTCCTGTGTCATTGCCTCCATGTATGGCTATTTTTTTTATAGTGTATGTCTGTGTTTGTTTATGTTTTCGGAGTATTTTTTGCATGCTAGGCGTGTGAAAGACACGTGCAGGAACTAATAGGTCAACAGATCCAGAATGCTCCAAGAATAATCACGAATGAAAAAAAAATCACAAAAACTCAAGATGTTTCAAACAGGTATGGGATCTTCGATTTCTCACCTGTATTTGATGTAGCTCATCATGTTGATCTGAAACAAGAAACAAAACTATTAGTTTAAGTGAATTTCTGTATTGATGACATTATTAGAAAGTTCCGATGAATATACTGCTTTACATTTATGATATAATACACAATGGAATACTAAGCTGAGAACATCTACATGCTAGAGCAGTAAAGCCTTTACTGGACCCTTTATTATCGTGTTCTCAACGTACAAAACCTACCCGAACATTCCAGCCCGTCCGTGACGACCGCTCCTTGAAGAGAGTCTCCGTCCTGCAGAACCGTTATTCCGTCCGAGGTGACGGTTGTGTCCCCGAGACTGTTACTGGCCTTCACCGTGATGTAATACGTCTGAAATAGTAACATCAACCAACATTCAGCCACCACCCTTACATTAACATTGCAAAGCTTTTCAAAGTTATCATCTATTCAAAGAAATAACTGAAATCAGAAATATTGTGCAAGAAATTTAACAAAAAAACAACAACTTTATTAGAAACGTGGAAGGGAATGTGTGGCGTAATTTAAATGGGTATTAGACACAGTCCGCCACTTCCTGAATTCCTCCACGTATCGCCCAATTACTCCCATTCAGCTACATGTATATATTGTTGTGTCACGTTTACGCTAGACCTCCCTGTCAATCATCTGTAACCAAATATCCACCCAATCTTCCTGCAACTGTCGATAAGTTGTAATACACACAAACCCACAGACACACAAACGTACCCAAAACAATACGTGTACCCCAGAGTGGGTAGCCTGGGTACCATCCGGATTTTCGCTACGCAACGCTCGAAAAAATGGCTACAGAGTGGGTACCTGGAGGTAAAAACTGCCCCATATTAGTATGAAACCTTTAAGAAATGTTTTCCCCACCTGGAAGGACGTAAGGCTGAGTCCAGTCCTGCTCCACTCCGTGTTTTGCCCAACAGAAGTGAACCCAACCACGTCCGTACCACCTGGTGACGTCCCGGCTCCCACCTGGTACGAGATGTCCCGATGTTCGTGTAGGAAGCCGGACCAGCGAGCAGACAGCGTGGTGGCCGTCGTCTGGAAGTCTGCATCTGCCGGCTGAATGACAAAACACATGTATGGTTTTGTAAAATTGAGATATCTTGTTAAATTGCTCCTTGGCATCCAAAGGCATGGTGTCATACCTATTGCACCATAATCAATAAGATAAAAAAATCATAAGACAGGAGCCTGTGGATCATAATCAGAATTTACTGCGTTCCATTATTAACGGCAAGGAGGCCCAAGACCAATAAACAACTAGCAATGTTGTGTCCCACCTGAAGATAGTCGTAGACAGGAGCCTGAGGGTCAGGGTTGATGTCCTCTACCACACCAGCAGTAGGCACGCCCTCCCACCCCCAACTGTCGCCGAGAAAACATACAAACTAAGCAGTAGGCCACCCAGAACAATACTTCCCTACCCACAACGTATACCCACCTGGAGATAGTCGTAAACAGGAGCCTGAGGGTCAGGGTTGATGTCCTCTACCACACCAGCAGTAGGCACGCCCTCGTAATGAACGTACGGAGAGGACGTCACCACGGTGGTCAGTCCGGCAGTGTCCGTAGCCTTGATGGACATGTAGTAGGTATGGGTGCCGTGTATTCCCCACTGTAGAGGAATGGAAGATCACTTGGATATCATTCTGATAATACTACTGTATGTTAAACTGAGGTATGCTCAGTTCATCCTTTTATGCTGGAGTAGAACAGGGTATTCCACAAGGAATTATTATGGGACCACTACTCTCAACGTTATCATAATGGGACATGCATGCAGTAAAATCGAAAAACAAGAAGACTGTATGCTACATAAAGCTTTTTGTTCCTGCATTGCTTTGTTCAGGTATCATCATCATCATCAGGTATATATATATAGAGAGACGTAAAGGCGCACGGGGCTAGCAGATGGGGAAATGAGTATACCTGTATGTTGTCCCTATGAACAGCAGTGCAGCCAGATGCACCCCCACAGGGTCCCTCACTGGTTATGGCTGTGTACGCAGCAACGTCTTCCTTCCCAGCCTCATGGCCTAAGGATAATGTAGTGTTATTGCCATCAGTTGATAACACTTTCAAAAGTTACGAGTCATTCATTCATTCATTCATTCATTCATTCATTCATTCATTCATTCATTCATTCATTCTTTTAGCCAAACTAAAAATAGCTACTAGCTCAATAACTTGAAATGCATTCACTCACTCACTCAGTCACTCAATTCACTCACTCACACTCACTCTCATTCACTCACTCACTCACTCACTCACTCACTCACTCACTCACTCACTCACTCACTCACTCACTCACTCACTCACTTACCCACGTGCACGCACCCACCCATCACCTTGCATTCATGGCTGATCAAAGATTTTGTGTTTACTTTACAAGAACACTATGCGATGATTCTGTTACTGAAGAAAGCATTGTGCTGTAACAGTTTCACTTGTACTTGTAAGTATGACAAAAATGACATTCGATACTGCAAAGCTTTTACCTACAAATGTAAAATATGAAATTATTATAACATTTGATGCTGGCATGTGCACAAATTTTACTTACAATGTAAAATATACAATGTTGAGCCTATAACAATTTATGCCCATAGGATTAAATCTGTTACCGATGGCATATTCATATGTAAGCCCAGACGAGTCCTCGTCATCTGAAAACCCGTTGGCTGGCCATCTGCCGACAATGTGGTCTTCCTCCACGGAAACTGTCACTTGTCCAGAAAACGTCGGGGGTCTTGCATCAACAATGATTGGGCCTATGGTCTAGGAGAAGACGTTGGTATAGAAATAATTTATATGAAAAAGTACAGGGACATTTGGATATACCGCATATCTAACGCTGACTAACATATACATGATCATGACTTGTGTATTGTATACGTGTGGTGATAAATGACTGACTTAGCATGCTGAATGTTAAATTGCAGCTCAAAAAAAAATCTTAAAGCATTCAAATGTATTCAGAGAAATTCCTTCACTCTGTATTAGTAATGTGCAATGTGTGGAGGAAGTTGCTAGATACGAGAATTGACCAAGCTCTAGTTGGGTAAAATCAATCAATCCGGTTACCTTTGTTGTTGACAAGCCTGCCTTGTTTGTTGCTGTTATGCCCAAGTAGAATTCTTGGCCTTCGCCGAGACCAGAATGCCTTGAGTAGAGAAAAGACACACAAATTAAAATATTCACTGCTGGTAGGTTTTATGACACACGTTGATAATTCAGGTTGTTCTTATATGTGAAAAGCTACTTGTATAAGTGCAATATTTTTACATTGGGCCTACCTAGTTTTGAAGACATAAAACGTCAATCAATACTAGTTAGGAATACTTTAGAACAGACATGCATATGATAGCCAAGATCTGCGAATGTCAGAATACTTGTTACAAATAGGTATAGGGATAATTTCAAATGGGACAGTAGAGTCTACCAAAGACTCATTAACGTAGTTCTTACCTAGTTTTGAAGACGGTATGTCCGTGAGTTGAGGTGAGGGGCATGATGTTTGGACTGGAGGCTCCAGATTCAGTAGAACTGAGGCCGACCTGGTAGTCGTTAATCTGACTCTCACCGTCAGAACCGTTCCAGTACACAACCAGCTGGATTAAAAGTGAATGAAAAATTTCAATTCTAGGCTTGCAATTAGTAACAAAATAACAAAATGTGTTACAGTAGCTTTTATCAACTTGGAAGGAATACAACATCGTCAACATTTGAACTTGCATTTCATAACCATTGAGATTACTGTGCATCATCCATTGTATACAATAAAGAGTAATGGTCCCATAATTATTCCTTGTGGAACCCCTAATGCTATACTAACTTGACTAGTGGCCTCAATCCTCAGCATACAAATAAGGATATTGAACAAAGGCATGGATGTATATAATATGTGGAATGGGTCAACGTGTGTTTTAATATTAATAATTGTCAATATCAATAATCATTTTCTAAAGGTTTTTGACAAAAAACTAAATATATGTAAGTAATTACACTAATGGGAAGACTTACATGTTTGTCTGCAGTGACGAAGAAAGGGGTTGGCAGACTGCCGTCTGATTCGCACGCCGCTGATGTCGCCAGCCTGACAGTCTCTGGATCATCGTACTGATCAGCGTTCACGTCGACAACTGGGCGGTCTGGGAAGATGGTGGCATCGCCGAGCTGCAAGGCTGAGGAGCTGTAACAACAGGTGCCATGGTAAGGGCTGTTGGCTTAGAATCTAATTACTCTGGGTTTGAGCAGACCCTGTACGTTGTTGTGCCCATGACCAGTCACTGGCCATGAGTTAAGTGGATGCTACTTGCTACTTGAAAGTGACATCTGACATGTTCAAAATCAAAAAGTTGCTTGTGTAACTGTTTTCTTAATCACATTACCTGGATGTCTAAATTTCATCGTTGAAACTTGACACCTATACATATGTTCTCACTCCATGGTGAGAATGAATACCTAGCTTAACTGACAGACTGACAGACTGTTGCAAACGTGGCACAGACTAGACAATCAGAATCTGTTATCCTTCAATTAATTTCTTTATAACTTATAAGGCATACTTGAGTAGTTTTGAACCTTAACATCCAACTTAAAGGACAGCATATTGCATCAATATTGATCAATTGATTAAATCAAAATAAGCCAATCACCTGCAAGCAGAAGATGGACTGTCAACAGCAACTTTCCTGAGCTGGTTGTCCATCATCCAAACGTTGCCTCCGCTGTCCTTAAAGGCTCCCGTCCTAGCCCGGATGTTCTCGATGACGATGTTGGTTATGGAGGGCGGAGACGTGTCGTACAGAATCCCGTCAGAACACACCGGTTCGGAGGCAGACAAGGCGCGGTTAAAGGCGACCACGGTGCAGTAGTACGTGCCGGGGGAGGACGCCGTGAAACTGTGCTGCAGCTCGGTGGTCGTCTTCTCAGTCGCCTGCAAATTTTGGTTCATTTACGTAGAATATGATTATCACTAATATTATAATGCATATAATCCAGATCCTGTAAGTTAGAGTCTTTACAGGTGTAAAAATAACAAAATCTTGTAAGAATACCAAATCCTTTAAGATGACAAAATTTGACAAAAATCTACAAAATGTAGAAATTCCCTTGGCAAATTGGAATTTTTTTCTTTTGCAAATCAAACATTTGTTTCTTCATTTTTATATCCGATTTGACTAATGATCAACCATGTACAATATCTGGTACCGGTGCAAATTTGCACAATAGGAATATGGACATGTATCATCTGTTATGAGTAATTGGCCAAATTTAATACTTACCGTGTCTGGAACTGGAATTCCAAAGTCACTTGCAGTCCCACACCGGGTGTCGAAGAACACTTGATAGCTTATTATGCCGCTCTCGTGGTCAAAGAATCCTTCCCAACTGAAGTGCATGTTTGCATCACTCTGGAAGATAAAGATAAAAGAAATAAACAACGATTTAGGGTTCTTTTATTAAAAAAAGTTATAATCAGAAGGACAGAGAATATCCCACTTCACGTGCTGTACTTCCTTCTATACCAGCTAGTAGCCTTGTATTCCAGTAAATAGACAAGTTAGTTAGGGCAGGGCACTCTTAAAAATAGTCAATCAATCAATCAATCAATCAATCAATCAGTCAATACTGAATTTCGCTTTGCACTTACTAAATTGGACAGTCACAGAAATTGTTAAATAAAATTTGTAAATCAAAGACGTTCAACTTAATCTAGCAGTAAAATAAGTCCAGAAAAAACAGTAGTTTTCATGCACAATTTTATTTTCATATTCATATTAAACTTACTGCCTCATGCAACAAGCTGAACATAACAGATATACCATTTGAACAATGAAAATCATTATAAGCACCTGAAAGTCGATGTCGGTTTGGCCAGCATAGTTGTCGGTGACGTGGCCTGTTTCTGGAGGGCTGATGTCAATGGTTATCTAATGGATGGAAACAAATCATGATAACAACTGATGTTCTGGGCACTACAGTTGTAGCAGGCTAAAAGGTACCCCTGGCGAAGAATATACCCGGGGTACGTTCTGGTGAGGGGTACATTCTGGCCAGCTACACCTCAGGGTAGCAATTTTTTATGCCACCCATGTGCAGCAGTCTTTACTAAATATAGAAGAATGCAGTCAAAATGTTGTAGTATTATTTACACATTGCTGCCTTCGAAAAACTCCTGTATAAAAAAAAATTGCCTTCTAGTCCTTATATTTCAATCCTTGTTGCAAGGCCAAGCCTTAGAAGAAACATCTTCTGGCAAACAGAAGCATTCGAGAAGAAAAAAAAAAACCTTTGTCTTAGAGACAGTTTAAGGAAAATTTTCACTAACCTGGAGTCTATCGGTGGTGACCAGTCGAGCTCGGTTTGTGACGGTGACGTAGAAGTAGTAGTCACTGTCGTGTTCTCCGAGGGGAATGGTCATCTTGGAGGCATCGGGAACTATCTCGTACTTGGTGATGTAGCAGGGAGTCATGGGGGTACACTGGCAGTTTTCTGCTGCACAGGAGGCTTCCTGAAATGTGACAAATCCGTAAGGAATGGTACTCACAACTTGCTGTTATTTAATGTTTATAGAATGTTTAACATTATAACATAGCAGTACTGTACTACAAGTTACATGTAGATACAATATTATAAAAATAAATAAAGGGAGCATCATTGGCTTTCTTGGGCCTTTCCTCCTCAATATTATTCACAATACTGATTCATTGACATGTACGAATATGATGGTTTTATATTGAATTATATTCTTATCACTCGTCACAGGCACCCAACAATCTACAACTCCCTCGTCCAGTCACGTGACCTGGGTGACCTTTGACACCTAGGTCACGTGACCCCTCTTATGAGCTGAAGAAAGATGGCGGATGCCAACTAAAAGCTTCTCTGAGCTGGAATTTTGTCGTGAGTACTGTCTAGTTAAACTCCTTCTTTCAAGAAATGAAATACTCTAACTTATGTAATATTCTTACTAGCGTATTTGATTAGGAATAACATATCTACATGTATTTTGTGTTGATAACTTTACATCATTAACATAGCATTTCTTACCGATGGTTTTGTTAAGAGCATGTTGTATGCGTAAACTTACAGGCTCAACCTGGACAGCCAAGTCACCACTTCCATGAACAACAGACTCGTCCGCCATGTCCACTAACTCCCAGGAAATAGTGTACAGGCCACTGTGGATGTCGTATGCGGTGAACTTCACCCTGTAACCAACACGGGGAAAACAACATTACAATGATGAAGCACATTATCAAGGTAACCAATATTCAAAGAAATTTCAACTCTCAATAAAGTGCAGAGATTGCTTCATGACTTTAGGCCACACCAATTCATTTGGTTGGTCCTCGGACATTTTAGTTTTAAAGATAGCAAGCAGACATCATAAAATGAAGGGGCTAGGAAGAAAACTTGAATATGACTGTATTTACTACATAACACTGAGTCCACCAATGCATCAACCAGATCATCAGACTTTGCTTTCATTAGTTTTTTCCAGATAACCATATTTAAAAAAAGATCCGAGAACCAATAAATCAAATTGGTGTGGCCTTACTTACAGGCAGTCATATAGTTCTCTGGCGTTGTGGACAGTTATGCCTTCCACGCCATTTTTCTCCAGCCAGAAGTCTTCTATGATTGGAGGAGAGCTGTCGATGTGGATGGATACATCGTCTGTCTGTTGGTTTCCCACGATGTCTGTTGCTCTGGTGTAGACTGTCACAGTGTCACCATCCTCCCTGAAAACGTAAACACAATTTCAAGATTACAAGAATTTGGAGCCCATGAAATATTTAGATCCTATGTGATGATGACTATGTTGTATTACTATACTAGACGATAATGTTACACATTTTATTTATAAATAGATGGTAGTTAGCAATTAGAGATAAAGATACAAGTGACACGGACAAAATCAGCCCTGTCCTTGGTGCTGAAGTTTTGTATCACCATTTCCAAGTGATACAAAAAATAGAAATGGATGTATTATTACCAAAAAGATTCTTTAAATCGGTTATGTCCTTGGTGCTGAAGTGATACAAAGTATAACTTATTCTTGCTGAAAACGGCTGTATTATTACTAGAATTAATGTGATCGCTTGTGTCATACAACAAAAAAGAATATTTGTACAAAAAGACCCACCTGGCGACTGTAAACGACTGTGTTCCTGCATGTAGATCATCCACATCTGTCCATGTTCCCGGTTGTTTGGTGGTGCCACCAGCATGGTCTACATGGACGGAGGTCTGAGGGGGATTTTTACTCAATTTAGATACCACAAAATAGACCATCCAAATTCTACTACTGGATAGATAACGGACTGACATTACTTTCGGAAACTCTGAGTGACATCACTCATCGAAACACTCATTGTGTGGTCATCACCACTAAAATGAACTAACAGAACTAGTGCACATGAGGGCCTTAAAAACGGTCGAAATGTTAACTAGTTCTGTTAGCTCGTTTTAGGTATTTAGTAAGTAGCTAAACAAGCTAGTAAGTATGCAAGCATTTTATGATGCTTAAAAATCATCATGGGCATATTGATAACACATACAACACCATTAAATTTTATACATTTTTCCTTTCCTGTGATTAAGAATCATTATGTTCTAGTAATAGTAGTTCATAATTACAACGAAACTTGTGCCTGTAGTCACCTCTACATAAGGGCCACCTAGTCAATGTGACCACTTTTTGGTGGTCCTTTAGATACACTAGCACAAGCATTAAGACTCCAGGGATCCTGTCTTATGCTGAGGTCACATTTCCAAGCCGGGGCCCGGCCGGGCTCTTCTGATTAACGAAAAATCAACAAATTTTATCAAGAATATATGCAAATAGTTCAATTATTAATGTTTTTCATGTTTTTGTGCTTTGTTGTCGTTAATACAATATTTTTCGTTCCATACGATTGCCCGGCCGGGCCCCGGTTTAGAAATGTGACCTTAGCATAAAGTAAAGTGACCACCTATCCACATAGACCAGATTTTATCAGTCCCTTGAGTGGTGTTCTTAGGCAGTTTTGACTGTGAAAGTTTTTATGATTAGTCCCACTTACCTCAAACTTCACAATGCCCTGTTCGTTGTCAATGGGCTGCCGAGACCTGTCCGTAGTGTCCACATCGTCATAATCATTGTCCAACAGTGGGAACTCCCGGATGCCGTTGAGAAACTTGCCGTTGTGGTGAGTGTGCTGAATGAAGTGGTCTTGGTATTGGAGAACGATTTCTTGGTCAAGGTTCGCTTGCCACTGTTGGTTAAAGATAGTCTTGTTTGATCTCATCCTAGTTCTGCATGCAAGTAGTTAATATGTAGCTTAAAAATCTGTTTCAAAGTAAATCAAAACACTTCCTCATCTTTTGTCATCTATGAATCTTTTAAGTTTGTAAAACAAGAAATCGGAAAGTCTTGACCTTCAGGAAGTGTTTTTTTAATGCATGGGAAGAGGAGAGGATTGTATAATGTAATATAATTGGGTATTACACACAAACACGTCCTGAATTCCTCCAAATACCAACCCACATACTGGGTCACTTGCATCGAGTAGTAACTAAACACCCACCCACTCTCTCAGCTATCTCTGCTAGAGAAGGATACACACAGAGCCACACAGACCCACCCAAAGCATCTAGACCCACCCAATACCTCCGGTTATCTAATTTCAGGGCAAATCTAGCAGTGAAATATGTTGGAACCGAAGTTTCTTCCTCAAAAAAATGAATTAGATATGATTTTGACAAATATCTATACCAAAACACACAACGTCGTAGATTCAGATAAGGCATTTTATATTTTAATGAATACCCATTACTCACCACAAAATCAGTCTCCTCCAGAGCAGTTGATAGCCACATGTCTCCAACCTCCGCCAGGCCAGCCTCCTCATCAATGGTGATATCCGAGCTGTCGTCAAAGATGAAGAACCTACGGGCCCTCTGAAAGAAGCCAAAGACATTAGGTGTTCATTATCATCTTTGTGGTACCACATATTTTTGTAACATAGGTGTTCACGAGCATTTTGTGATGCCACATATTTTTGTCAAAACACACCCAGTGTTCATTAGCATTTTTTGGGATGCTGAAATAAAAAGTTGGTTCAAAAGTGGACTTTTCAAATTGTTCTGAAAGTAGTTTTAATTAGCTATAAATGATACTGTTTGTCACCTTGAGGTTTCCAACTTCGTTCCCACCAGAGGCGTCTTCGACGATGAGGACCACAGAGAACACTCCTGGGTCCTCCCCTGCCAGGTTGACTGCGTACTCACTCACGGTGGATTCTAGGCTCGCTGAGTCAACAAAAAAAGTTTTGTAAAAAATTCACTTATGTTTAATTGAATGGAAGGAAACCCAATACATTTCTTGACAAGAAACTAATATAACATTTCAGACCTCTAAGAGACTTTAGATTTGTGGACTTTTATGACCACCCAATTTCCTGTGTCTGACTTTTTGACCTGTACTTCTCCTGTAAATCTGCACACCCATGTGCTGTAAACCTACTCGTATTGTTTTCCCATGTCTGATAGGTCATTCTGCCTGGTCCTGTCAATCTCTCTCCACTCACATGCTATCAACCTACATTGTATTCTATTTGAACAAACAGACGCACAAACGCATGCTATCCACACCGCCCTTCTTTAACAATAATATGCCTATACATTTGTACATGTCTTCAATAGACATTCTAAGAAATGCCACTATTACAACTACCGGTAGCATATCATTAAAAGACTTACCCTCATACATGGCAGTGAAAATTTCCCTCAGTGTGTCCCCTTGTGTATGGTCCATACGGTAAACCTCGACGTGATAGTTCTGTATACCAGACCCAGTGTCGCCCCATCCACTCCACCTGGCTGTGGGACTCTAAAACATAGGGTACAAAATTTGTTTTTGGCGATGCCTCAGGGGCGGAGCCAGCAGTACATTACTCTTTGAGTTACATGACGTAATGTCAATAAAGACAATATGCTCCTTCACTGAGATTAACAATACAGCCATACAGTAAATTTGAATACATCCTATCGCCATTGCAAGATACTGTGAGCAATATTCAGCCTTTTTATACATACGAAAAAGAGATACATGTAATTGAAATGGTGAAAACTAAAATGGTTATTCCTCTGAATGATCCTACCTGTTTTGTGAAGGGATCTCCAACGTCCAACATCTGCTGGAAGGTCCCTGAATGAAGGGGTGTGGTGGAGTCATACCTGAAAACAATAGCAGCATACATACATATTAAAACTTGTTTTCCATTATGTCAATACAGGATTTTAGGTATATAAACCGCCGAAAGAAGTGGAGAAGTGTAGACGACCGTCTTCCAAGATGAAAAGAGCCTAAGACAAGATTGTAATAAGACTAATATTATAGTCTATCCCTGAACAAGGCTGACGGAGTTAGCCAAAAATTTGGGTCCCAATTTCTTATGTGTTAGAAGATAAAGTTTAGCCATTCGCTATAATGAAGTATACCAACACAGATTAACTTTCATGCTAGAATTGTAGTAAATTACAAATTTGTTAAAGCAAGTCTCTGAGCGTTATATAATTTTACTTCTTCTTAATAATCACTTTTGGTTTTTGGAGTCTAAATTTCTGGGTTGTAAACTGGTCTATTTGTATGGCTAGTAGTGGTTACATGCATAGGTGGATAGTTGAGTTTATGAGTAAGTTAAGTGAGATCCAGAAGTATAAAAAAATGCACATGAATTCGAGGTTACTCACTTCCACTTTGCTCCAGAGGCGTCTGTGGCGTACGGTCCGTCGGTGAAGTACCGGTTGTGGTTCTGCCTCGTGTCAAAGTCGTGGTACGTGAAGAAACCACCTACTTTGGCCCTAATTTCAATTTCAATCCTAAAGACGGGTACAAAATGATTGAAAATATTGTTTTAGAAATGTTGCATGATTGCTTGCATGTTTCCCTTTTGTAAGTAATTTCAATGTAAATTACAATAGGAAATACCCATGCATGACAACTATATGACTAAAAAATTATGATTATTTCTAATTCGGTAAAAAAACTTTAGGCAACTAGGCAAAAACATGGGTCAACAATGTTAAGAGATAGATAATATTTAATATAGATGAGATAATCACATGAGAAAATATACACATGGAAATAAAGCAACAATGTCAATGGGTAGAAATATAATCACAAGAATGATTTTACTCACTCATCCCCGTGGACGATGTTAGATGACCAGGTTTGGTCGTTATCGCATGTTATGGCTGAGTCCAGGGGAGGGTTGGTCTTACTGAGAGTGACATCACAGGGCACTGTACCACTTGTCACAACCGCTGTAAGTGAAAACACATTAGATAAATATATATTTGCTTTATGATAATTGAAACACAGGGTATTATAACACCGCTCATGATTGATATTGTATATTACAAATTGTTTAAGTGAACATCTTAGTGGGTATAAAAGCAGGCGAGGTTTCAAGTCCCACTTATGACACCATTTTGCAATGAGTATGTGGCAGGATACAGATCAAGGTACTTCCTAACTATGCAATCTGGATGGGTTAGTACAATTTGAATCCCACTTCTGACACCATCTTGCAATGTGTGTAAGAGATGACACAGACTAAGGTACTACCATTTAACCTGGAAAGGTTGGTAGGGATCACGATAGTGTAACTTCGTCTTCGATACCCCCAAATAACCCAGCGAGGGGTCCGTTAGTGGGGGGGGGAGGCCAAGGCTAAGGAGGGCAGGCCCAGAACGAGTTCAACATTGGTAGCCAAAACTAAAGGGCCGGGTAAGGAGTTCCACTGTGGGATGGTACGGGAAAAAAAAAGAAAATCTGTAGGTGTCGGTCTGTGTATTTATAGTCCGGTATTTGAGTGCGTGACTCCCTCGGGTACGCCCCTGTGTGGGCTGCAAAAATTTGCAAAATCGTACAATCATGTCCAATCATTCCATATGATTTGCATTGGTAGAATGACATTGAAAGGTTGAAAAACCTTACACGATTTACCTCCACTTCTCTTGTGGCTCCAGGACACCGTACTTTCCATGATGCCAACTTTGAAAGCCCGGATGTAGGAATAGAATGCAGGGTTCGGCCGAGTGTACGAGAGGGCCCATTCAAACTCCAGTCTGGTGGGTACCTATAATAGAAAGTAATGTAATTATTTATTTGGACTGCATGAGTAGAGAAAAAGACTCTTTGTAAGCATTACCAAAATTCCTACATTACTGTTGTTAAGTCCTGAGATCAAGAAATGATACAGTCATAATGTTGATTCACTTATTTGAATACTTGGGATACCTTGTTGGTCCAGACGTCCAGATTGTCCTTGTCTAAATCAGACACTCCACCAGAGTTGTCGTGCAGCATTGCCAGCCAGTGCATGAATTCAGGCTGCTGCTGGACTGAAAAGGAAGAATTCTAGATTTAGTATGTTTGATACAAGATCATTTACCTGCTCCAAGAATGTTATATTTTTTGTGTTCCTTTATGGGTGCATTTGTTGGTTCGTGGACAGCACTACTCATTGATAACAAGGTAAGGATGGATCTTAGTGATATTTGGTAAGATAGAAGATATGTGTCAGTAAAACAAAGGTCAAGTTTGAGTACTAGTATGCCCCCTGGTGACTTTCTATGGCACTGCAGCTTAAAAAGTATCAAATATTTCATATATCAAAAGCAGCACAAGTTGAGTCTACATCTTCTTTGTGATACCTTAATAATTGCATCAAAAAGCAATGAACTTACTAGTTGTGCAAGAAGTGCCAGTGAAACCGGAAGTGCACGAGCAGGAACCAATCAGCTCACACGTTCCAGGGAAGCACAGGTTACTGTCACTCCTCCACGAACAACGCTCTGTTGAAAGAAAGATTCTGATTGGTCAGCCAACCACATTGTACTCAATGACTTAAACTTCTGATTTTCCAAAGACTTATTTCTTCCTTAAGAATCCATTGCATCAAGATATCTTCAGAATACATGAATACATTCAGGCAGATGAATTAGATTGAAATGCCTTTTTGGTCTGGACGGGGGCCGCCATAAACTTCCCACACCCTCTGATCCACTGACTTTACCGATGCAGTAGATTGCTAATTCCTTTAATTTGCAAAGGACGGCGATGCGTAGTTGAAACTTTGTGTACTGGGCCTTTCTTAAAGTTTACAGTTCAATCCTAACTACGCTTGCTAAAATAAATTCTGTCCTTACTGTTGCAGTTCATTCCGGAAGCGTCGTACGCCCTTGCTGGCTTGCCGTCGTAGGTTCCATGGTCGTACACGCAGCTTGGACACTGGTCGTTGTCGCACAAGTGAGAGTTACACAGGGGGTCGGTACAGATTCCTAGAGATATACATTCGGAACATAATGAGCCCCAGGCATACGAACCAGCAAACTGCTCTTTCAACGAAAGCTCAGCGATAGCAACGGTTGCTATAAGATCTCTCGTAGATCGACATCAAATTTGCTGACAATAGAATTTTAGAAACAGGTAGCATCTAACGACACTGTTAACTGCTACTTGTTCCGAATTGTTTATGTTCTTGTGAGGGCTGGCCCTTTATAATAGCCTCCGGCTAGTTGGGCAGTCCTGGCTGTATACATATGTCTTATTCAGCCTAATAAATCAAATCAAATCAAATCAAATCTATTATTATAGTTAAATGTTTGCTACATTGGCAGACAAAAAGGTGATGTACATATATATCAAAGATAAAATCATGTGGCATTGATTTTTTTATAATTAATGCATACTACGTGATTTAAAAAAAAGAACATGCACCAGAAGCGTAAAGCTGATTGTGTAGTGCCATTTCACTCCATTTCGCCCCATTTCGTTTCATTTCGTAATCTCTGCACACCCGTTACTTCTGTATTTAAAACTTTACAGTTCCATTCCTAATATTTTGCCATCTATTTCATTTTATTGTGTTAATTAACACATGTACATTTTTTTTCTTTTTTTCGTTCCATTTCGTTCTATTTCATCCATTTCTCGGTATTACTTACTTTATGTACACCACGCGCGTAATGTCTGCTCCCTTATACTTACGAACACATCGGCTCCATGCGTACTCGTAACCGCCACAGCAGTGATAAGTCGTCTTGGGGCAGGTGGTTTCCCGGTACCCTGTTCGGTACCTGTTGGGGAAATATACGTTTTCACCATTGTGCCGATTCGAGTTGTCAATACCAAATATGGCTTGATCTCCTTACGCATGAGCCAATCAACAACGTCGTCTCTCTGAACGTAACGCACCCTACGTTTACACAAGAATGGCTTGTACAGCTGGATATATAATGTGTGCCTACTTCGGGGATAACTGCATGCAGTAGAACACGTACCTCCGTAAGTTTACCGTTGTTTTTCTTTTCTTATGTGGTGGCCCCCATGTACGTATACCCAACGGAATTGTGGGAATTGATGTTATACATGTACGTACTTCTACAGTAGCTGTAATGACCAAATAATGTGTCCATTCTAGGGCGAGCTTCACCGCCTCTGGCGGGACCACGTCGGCATTCGGCCGAGTTACGCTGGGAGGGGGGCACCAGCAAGCAGGTCGTTGACCTCTGACATTGATAACATGCGTGTTATCAAACATGTACAACAATGAATGTAGTTCAGACTAATCGTGATCGGAACGATTTGAAATGAACGCGTGGTACGTGGACCAGATGTGAGGAATGCGAGCTACCCGAATCGCGATTCAGGCGGATAGGTGTGAACAAGGCCTTAGAAGACAGCTTTATCGTAAACAAGACAGCTGGATTTCGAAGGACACCTGTACAACAACCTTAAAAAATACCCTCAGTTTGCGATTGTACGACGTTCGTGAATGAGTCCTTATTTGATACGGGTGGTACAGATTGTAAATGTACTTACTCAGTACAGGTTGACCATCCGAGTCCGAAGATGCCACAGTTGGTTGTGTAACGCTGAGAGTAGGACTCCGTACAGGGACACTGTGTTTCACCCGTGCACACATTGGGTCTGAGGACAAAACAAGAAATGATTTTAAGCAAGAATTCGGAGATCTCAGACCTCAAAAATTTAGGTGCGATGGTGACCGTGCCCTCTTCTTACCGTCTCTCTCTCTCTCTCTCTCTCTCTCTCTCTCTCTCACTCACACACACACACACACACACACACATACACACACACACACGACACAGACACGGAGACACAGACAGGAAGACACACACACACACACACACACACACACACACACACACACACAGTCAGAATCCATAGGTATGACAGTGTTACCATACGTTGTGCCTATCGGCCACCGTACTTTTGCAACTGTACTTATAAATTGCGTTTAAAAGTTCACTAACTCACCAAATATTCCTTGTATTGTGAAGTCAGAACCCTATATGTTATACTTCAGCGGTGTTACACTATGTACCTACCGGACACGGTATTTTTGCAGCTGTACTGACAAGGTACGTTTAAATGTTCGCTAACTCACCAAATAAATATTCCTTGTATTGTGAAGTCAGAACCCTAAATGTTATACTTCATCAGTGTTACAATACGTTTTACCTATCGGCCACAGTACCTTTGCAGCTGTAGTGACAAGATGCGCTAACCCACCAAATAAAAAGTACACTAACTCACCAAATATGTCAGAACTCTAGATGTTATACTTCAGCAGTGTTACAATACTTTGTACCTGCCGGCTACAGTACAAAAGAACGAAGGCGTATGGAAGTTGACGGCTAATTTTGATGTAAAGATGTTGGTACAAGGGGTGACTTACAGTTGAGAGAAGGCTGCTTCGGCTTCAAGAGCTGCAATAGCGGCGTCTGCCTCTGCGTTGATTCTTGCGTTCTCTGCGTCAAGGTCAGGCACCTCTCCCGTAAAAGCCCTTAGGATAGCCAAGGCGAGCTCCGCGAGCCTCCAGACCTCGGCTTGTTCAGTCGTACAATGCTCCACGGCGGTTACCTGGGCCGGTAACTCTGCTGTCAGAACCCACACCAGACAGCATAGCTTCAGCAGGCCTCCTGCCGACATGGTGTCAGCGGTGGGATTTCTGTTAGAAAGGAAAATACTTAGTTATGGTCTTGTAGTGATACGTCGTTGTCGGCAATAGATGCATGAGTTAGGGAGCATAGTTTTGACACGCACGTACATATACACGCGCACACACCACACATTACACACACACACACACACACACACACACACACACACACACACACACACACACACACACACACACAAAAACACACAAACACACATAAAAATGATTTAGTGATTTAAAAGGATACATTCTACATCCATTCTGCGAACATGTACAGCATTGTACAACAGTGTATCTACGTTGTATTTAGGTTTGCTCAAAAGTGAAGCAGCTTTGAACGTTGCTATTTTCGGGGTAGTTAAAGTTATTTTCAGACTCAGGAGGGGTTTTCGGGCCTAATTTGAATTTTTCACATGAATGTGTTTCCAAGATATATGGGACTATAAGAAAATGTTTTTTTGAAAATTGGGCTTAAGATGAATCTGAACATTTTCAAGTAAGAAGTAACACCCCTCTCTAGTCAGATGGTATGCGGGGCGCAGTTCACATCTCCCTGTGTTTGAGGAGCATCACCTCTCGCTGAGCACTTAACGTACATGTACAGTTATTATTATTATTTTAACGGAGCCTATACGACCACTTCTCGGTATTGAACTAGAAAGATGAGAGAAACATGGCTATGTCAAGAGATGGCGGTGAACGTTTGATTTGAAAGCCTGTAGATTGTAGGTTGGTGGGAAACACTTGTCAGGGAGGGAATTCCAAAGCTTGGCCGTACGGGGAAAGAAACTGTCACTGTAAAAAGATTTCGAAGAAGGAATTTGAACGGTAAGAGCAGCGCACTCATACCGGGAAGTACCCCTACTTCAGATCTTATCAGTGAGTGTGCTGGATTCTATGTAAAATTGGTTGAACACACAGATGCATACACAAATCGTGCTGTCCCCGACAACATTATGAATCCGTGTTGGTACCTACTTTGCCGAAATATTCGCAAACGTTCTTCAGCAAAACGTAAAATATCTATAGTTGACACAAAGCTATATATCTTCAAACTATCCAGTTTTTGAGACAGAAAAAAATCAGGACAACGAAATGAACCCGAATGCATACATATAGATTAATGTGATACAGTGTTTAAAAGTCTACACTAAAATCTCGACTTTTCGCGGGTTGGTCTTGTACACTATATAACTGCACCTTATGTTATACAGTTTCTGTCTAACCGTCGTATCAGCCTTTCAAGACCCCATGAATGCTTGTACGACTTTGTACTGGTTTGTACGACATGATACGAGCTGACGGCTTAGGTTTAGCGACAACACTACGACGAGAAAAGGCAAAGACACGAACCTGCTCGACTTCTGCCAGCAACGCCGTCACAAGCACGAAGGCTGGAATCTGACGTAAACTTGGCCCAAACGCGCAGGATTTTCTGTCTTCAAGTCCAACAACGTTTGTTTGTGAAGTATTAGGCACGCAAACACGTTTATGGTGGATGTTACCGACCGTTTCGGACAGCCACCGGCCGCTGTTACGGTCGAGACAACCCGAGCGAGGGTCGTCCAAAGTGCGGTGAACAAATCCCCCCTCCGTCGCCGTACCCAATACGTAGCTCTTTTCAAACCCAGAGTTATTGATATATTTGCTTTTTCCACGCCCACGAAATAATATCTCCTCGCCTTTTGACAAAAGCTTGAGACCTAAGAAGGGTTTCACGTTGCAGAGCTGAGCAAGACCTACCCGGCTGGTAAGAGTTACATGTACATAACATGGTCACTGGGTAAACTGTTTGTGTCTTTAAAACAACTCACTGACCAGAGAAACCACGTACACGCACAATGTCGTCTGCTGAAAGCAACACAAATTGACCATAACTGTTACATATATACTCTCACCTGAAGTATGCAAAAGCTGTTTTCATTCTTAATTCCTTTATACATGAAAATATCTGAACAAAGTACAACGTAGGCATCAATTTTTATCGGAGTAAAATTTAAAGTAAGTAAAAAGTAAACTTGTCTGGCATTGCTTTGAAAAGAACCTATTCGCGGATTCACAGTTTTCGAATCGAATTTGAGTTAAATTTGAGTCAAGTTTGACTCTCAACCACGCCCTGACCTACTTTCGAACACCAGCCAACCACCAGCCAACCATGGCTGTTTTGAACATTTTGAAACATTCGGCAGGCGCATATCTGAACAGTGGCCGACCTGGCCCGAACACCAGCCGACCTTGCTCCCGACCTACTCCCAACCACGGTTGTGGAGAGTTCGGCCAGTGTTCAGGAGGCCACATTTGGCTGTGTGTGACTGGCGTTACGCAGCTTGTACTGGTGTGGTAAACCTATAGACAATGTATTGGTATGGTGAAACAGACCCTCTTTTCTAATGTTTATGATACATGTATATATCTTGATACTAGTTTAAACAACTAAAGATACACTTAAGAGCCACAAGTTCACTTAAAAGATCTAATCTAGGCCATACCAATTTAATTTCTTGGTTAAAGGATTTTTCTAGAAAAAAAATGGAGCGGGTGGGCGAAAAAAAAACAAAAACAGGCCTAGGTATCCTATTATGGCCCAAAATGGTACAATAGGAGACATGAAGTCAACACACCAGGCTGGTTCAAAATTCAAACAATGAATTTTGAACTTTTAATGATACCACTGCATTAAAAGATGGAATAAATGTAACAAATAGGAAGAAAAGGCCTTTTTTCAACTGTTCAGGGCAAAATATGAGCATTTTGCAGTTGATTCTGATTTTTTTTGCAAATCAGATAAAAAATTAAGCAGGCGAATTCGTTAACGAAGAAATTAAATTGGTGTGGCCCTAGCTGAGAAAGAAAATCGCTGACGAATACAGATGACTGATGGCGAGCCAGAACTTATACCTCCATATGTCATTGGACTATTCAACTAGTGATTAACGACGTCAGGCCACTCAACACTTTTGTTGCCTGCTTATCTTGGCACGTTTGAGAGATCGTCTTAGAAAAAACGCCTTCTCGTGCCCTCTCCTGTTGTTTCTTCGTATGAAAGAGCCATTATGGGCAGAGTGCATCATATATCCCACTATTTCCCGCATGACTGCAACACTACAAAAGAGATGCAGCTTTCCCCGGGATGAAAATGCATTAGCTTCACACCTCGCTAGGTGGCGTAGTTGATACACGTGATACACGTGAAGAGCTATATGACGCAGCAAAGCAAGTATTTCAGAAATCACACACATTATAAGTTTATCTGATCATTTCTGTGTGCAAATGATGTAGCAACAGTCAGTTTCAACATTTGAGAGCTAAATGTTGGCTCCACTATAGCAAAACTAGCGACTATATCGTTTAGAAACTTGTTTGAAGTCCTGTTTGTATTCGATATTCATAAAACTGGCAAAATGAACGTTTTTTTTAGAATTCTTATTAATTTCTGACAAGTAGACACGAGTTTACATGAACCAATTGCAGCTTGCTTACATTTTTAGCAAGACTCTTTCAGTGTGGATCTTAAAAATAAGCGTTTTGTCGCTCTTTCTCCTAAAACGCCTGCCTAGCCAGGCTACCTGTTTGCCTAGCTTGTCAGTGTTGACCTGTACACATATCCCCTACAATAACAACAATAGTGCTGAAAATTTACCCTAAGCCCCTTTCAAGTTAGGTCTATAAATACAACTAGATTGATGGGAAGGATGTTGTCTTAGTGAACTGAACCGTCCGCATTGGCTGTAGGATAACCTAAAACCACCGAAAGGACCACCGCAGTACAGTAAACAATACCTGCATTCAGTGCTACTCGAGCGTTCTTCTACAAGTCCCTAATACTTGTATCTACATTATCCTTACCGTCTTAACACAGACGTGTGCATACTTTCTTCTCGGGGATTATATGCATGAAGTGCCACTCTTTTATTCTTGCTGAAGTTTCATAACTAATAGTAACGGTCAGAATCATACATTTGAGTAAATTATCAGGAAAGTAAAAAAAAAATAATGATAAGAAATAAAAGGAAGTGATGAATGATCATAATCGTGGTTTTTGCAGCTACGATTTAGAGTAATAGTATGATATAGTGATGTTACGATGCTTTTAAAATCTTGATTGTGGTACAAAGATGTTCTAATTTCAAAGATAAGGTGGTGATTTTAGCGCTATAGCCATTCACGTCGCACATTTTAAGTGTATTATATAATTATACATTAATTGTATCTTAGAAATTGAGAATTTAGCGAAAGGAAGGGATTTTGTTTGCCTATTCTTTATTCATTATTATTTGTTTATTCATGGGAAGGTCAAATCGGCCTGCAGGTCACTTTTCATTGAGGTCATAAGGGAAGAGGTAAGGGTCAGGAAAATGTATAACAAAGATACATCATTTAAAGTCTTTATAAATCTATACACATTCGTGGTACAAAAGTATCAAAGTTTAGTATTTGCCGATAAAAGAAATTTTAGAAAATATCAAGAAGTATTTATGAAATGATGTTAGATGTGTATCAACCTGTGCGCAATGCTTGGTACGATGAGTAAGACAAATTTGTTGGCGTCACAGTTGCGTAGCAACAAGATACAACAGGAGCTATCTCTTCTTCGCGTTTATTGGTGCGTTTGGCGGAACAGACTTTGCGTTTAGCGTTAAATGGTAGGTCATTCTTCAGCCGCCGATTCAGTGAACCGTACTTCTTTTTTCTAGGTCCAACAGAGAGTGTGAGAGACAAGAAGTTCTGAATTTTCCACGGAACTATTTTCGTCCTCCTCTTTTTGTGTATCAGATATTTTCTTTAGAAAGACAAGGGAACTTTGTGAACAGTGTTTCCAATATACACTAAGTAAAAAATTTCTTGCTCAATTCATGTCCAACCTAGTTTTACCGTCCGAAAATATCAAAAATAATATTGTTCGTCAGAAATTTCAAAGAAACTTCACATTGTGACATTTTCATTCTTGATATTTTGAATTCGTAATTCTGTAAACTGTATTTTATGAATTATTGCTCAGAAATTC